AAAAGGAGAAGAGAGAGAGAGAGAGAGAGGGGGGGGGAGTATTCGAGTGGTATGGAGAAGCGACACGATGGAATTTCAGAAATTGCACCCGACATTTTCGCATGCAGTATATGTATAATCGAGCTACAGCTTCTTCTTTTTCATCTTCTCCATTTTTCTCTCTTTATCGTTACAATCTCATCTCCCGTAGCCGTTTCCTCCAAGCTTTTGCGATTGAAACAGAAGGATGTATCGATGATTTAGTTGAAGACCTGGATGAACATTGATTTCAAATGTGGATATAAAATTGAACAAGAACATAGGCTGATTGTGAATGATCGCAAAGATTTCTATAATTTATACCTCGTAATTTGGCATACGCATTTTGAATTAATATACTCGCAAATCATGTCAGATAACATAATTTTTAGTTTAAAAATTTTCGATGAGCAGACAAGAGGAAATACTTTGTCATTCACAATGTTGTTTTAACACTCTTAATTTTGTTTTGCATACTAATTTGAACTGTTTTTTTAGAGGTACTATGATACAAGATTAAGAGTAAAGGATCAACGATTAGAAAGATAGTTTTAAAGATTCTCGCAACGGCGAGTCTCGAAGAATCGGTTCTCGTTCCATAAGCTGGACTCGCGGTGGATTTTCCGCGAAGAGAATTGCGAGTTAATTTCCCGTGCGGTCGCCTACGGCCCGTAACATCGGCTCGTTGTCGTCGTCAATTATTTTTAATTGCGGGCCGATCGGAGCCCCGGGCTTTGCGCGGTGTGCATTAAAATGCGCCTGGGTGTAAAATTGAAACTCGCGAGGTCGCGGTCGCGTACGCTGTACCTTCACCGACGCGATAATGTGATTTTCAACAAATAATTTTGATTCTCCCCTTGCTCATTGCGCATAGTCCTCTCGCAATCGTCCAATTCGTTCGCGAGCGTTATTTTGCGAGCGGAGGCCGTCAATGATGGACGAGTTCGTGCTCGAAATCATTGCGAAACGAGAGATAGGGATAGCCGGAGGGATGAAGAGGGGACGAGTGATTGGAAAGGGGAGAGCCCCGGCTGGCAGGTGCGTGGCTGTTCAATATTCATCGGCGAGAGGCGTCGAAATGATTTTAAGTGCCTGCAGAAATTGCCGCAGCACCGGCGTTTTCTGATAATCTGCATTATTTCGATCGCTTTGATCGCCGCTGCTTTAATAATATGTAGATTTATGTTTTCATCCGGACGGCCGTGGCGGCGGCGGCGGCGGCGGCGGCGGCGGCGGCAGCGGCAGCGGCAACGGCGGCAACGGCGGCGGTGGCGCGTCACTTCTCCCGTTTTGACACAGTTCGACGGCATGTGGAAATTATTATTGAATTATTTATTATGTTCTAAGTATCGGCCCGACACGGTCTTCGTTTACTGAAACTTTACGTGGAGAACAGTGTTAAATGTAAAATAAATTTCATCACTATAATTACGTTCGTCCAGGTGTTAATAATGCGATTAAATGGTAGAAAATTACTTCCGACATTTTATTACTGTACTCTCAAAGTTTTAAAACGTTGAAAATACAAAGTGTCACGGGTAGTGTTTTTATTAATGAAATTTGGAAAATTGTTAAAATTTTATTGTTGTCTGCGAATTATATTTTAATTTTCTTCATAATTTTTCTTATGATTTCATTATGTTGAAAGAGGAGTTTTTCCTCGTGAAAATTTAAGTATTGACTTCTGACTTTTTAATACTTTTATAATTTTATTTAAGTCATACAAATAGCGCAGGCTATTAAAGCATAAAAATTATCTCTAGATAAATTGAGATATTAGGTTCGTAGTATAATTTATTTTACTTCGCGTAAGTCTTTTTAAAATTATCTCTTTCACAATAAAAGGAAATGGAATTCTTTTCTTTATATTACATATATTTCATTTTGAGATATTTAATAAAAATATCTTAATCAATCAAAATATAAAATCAAAATATAAAACTGAAGATGCAGAAATTATATTTGAAACATTAACAATCTCTTAATACCCTCCAAAATATTTTACAAACAGATTGCTTCAATGAATATTTTATTTTACAAAATGGCTTGCCATTTTATTCTCCTTGCGCCTTCCCTTACTGTACAATTTTGGTACAGTGGCAAGCATCTCACGGCACTCGAATATATTTTTATTAAAGATCGATTCGCACGAGAATTAAACGTGGCGATAGTTCGATTCGATAAAAGCATTTCTAAGAATCTTGGTAGATGCACCGCGCGATGCATCGTTGGGAATTCCTTCCACACAGGCGCTCGATTACCGACCTGAAAAATCTGTAGCGGAATAGTACCGAAGGCAAAAAGAAAAAAAAGAAAAGGATATGGTCGCCAGGAGATTACTACTCGCCCGATTGTGTCGAACGAGTATACATCCCTACCTTTCTACTCTTCTACCTCTTCTACTCCTTCCTTTTTAATAAATGATCTTTCTCTCTTGGACCGTGCCGACCTCGGAGATGGGAATCGCGTTGTCATCGGGATTATCGCATGCATCGGCACACGTATGCACATCGTATACAGTATCGCGGCGCGTCGCGAGGAAGAAAAGGGAGGGCAAAGGGAGGGTTGATGAAAGGAGAATCGCGCATCGCCGGTTCTATTCGCGCGATGAACGCGCGGGTACAAGGTTAGAGGAGATAGCATCGTTGGATTAATTATGCGTAATGCATGGGACGTACGCGAGGATGCGTTTGTACGTTGCTCGAAGCGAAGGAAGGGAAGAGGGGGGGGGGGGGACAGTCAACGCATTCAATTATCGTCCTTATACCGCTGGTTTACAGATGTTTCGGCGATAATCGCGTTGCTACGCGGCTTCCACATTCGTTGTGTTAAGTGTTGAATAACCGGCGGCACTCGAGAAGGAATGAGGAAGACGAAGCGGGCGGTTAAAGAGGAGACAGCAGCACGAGGAAAAGAGAGAGAGAGAGAGGGGAGGGAAGAAACTTAATTAGATCCATCGGAAAAATTAACGTAGTCCGCTCGAGAGGAATTGGCAGCGCTCCAGATATCCGCGTCGCAGTTCTTCTGCGGCCGCGAAAATGCACCATGCAATCCGGTTGCATTGATGCAATCTGGGAAGTGGTCCGCCATGATGCACGCGGCAATCGTGGTTCGATGAACTTCCTCGTCGTAATCGAGACGATGGCTTGTTGAGAGACATACGATGTACTAACCCCTACAAAAATTTCTTTCCGAGAAAGAATTTTGACGGGATTTTTTAACGGAAGCTTGTACAATATATCCGATATTAAAAATAAAGTTGAAGTTACTGAACTTTTCGATTTTACGAAATGTCATTTGAGAGAACATTTACACTCCGAGATTGAAGTGAAAGCAAGAGGAATAATAATTAATTGATAATATTAGTATTGAATAATAACTTAACAAGTTTTCTTTTTAATTAAATCCTTTTAAATTATTTTAAATTTGTAATATTTTTTCTATAATATGATGTAATATTATAGATAAAATATTATAAATTTAAAATAATATTTTGAAGTGAAAAATATTTGAAGTTTAAATTAATTAATCAAGTCAGTAATTCCATGAAATTTGATATTTTGCAAAACAAAAATATTTTTTGAAATTGCCAATTGTGTCTTAGAGATGTAAGGCTTTCAATTATGAATAAATGCATTTTATCCAAGATTCAACATTCGCGATGTCCACAAAAATGCACAATTTCATGCGTAATCCACACAAGTCACCTGCTACTTTTTCGGCGGCGACCCGACGCGACGCAGCTTTTCTTCTTTTTTCTCGCAATTTTACGTGGTCTTTTTTTGTCGACAAGCTGATAGGTCGGCGGAGCGCACGCGCGACACCACAGGAAAAATCGAGCGAGCATCGCCGGTAAACACTATAAATCAGCTTAATCCGCGCGTCGAGCGAAACGAAGGGGTTGGGGATATGTGCATTCGCGTGAATGTAGGTTAACGAAGGCGAAAAAGGAAAACAATTTTGGCGTCAGCATTTCGAAATTTTCAAACCATGCGGATATGATGCGATCCTATCAAATAAAAACAGTGGGCGTTGCAACCGGATGAAACAAGACGAATTAGGATGGTAAATTGCGACTCCAGGAATCACAAAAGACGTACGCATCATTTCGGAAAATAAGATAAAATAATTAAAAAATTATTATTTGGATTTTTCCTAGCCTTATAATATAAATTAAAACAATATATATAAACTTTTAATCCACATGTAAAAATAAAAATAATTATTTGCATCGTATATATATATCATATATATTATCAAGAAATAATATCCTATTTTATACGATACGCAAGTTTTATCAGTTTTAACCAAATACTTATATCTATGGCAACATGGCTATCTGTACTTTAATCTAATTTATTACGTGCATGCGGTTTGAATCTGTTTTTGCTATTCGCGAGCATCGCGATTTCCACGTAATCGCGATCGTAAGTCGACGCGCGTCTCCGTGCGATAAAAAATAAAGGGATAAAATAAAAAAGGGCGTAGGAATGGTAGTCCGGTAAAGTGTAGCGATTTACGTACACGCAATAATAACGCGGCGGCGACGTCCGGCGATCTCAGACGTATGTGTTCTTGGAAATCGCGCGATGCGCGATGCGAGCGCATAGTTCGCGCGAGAGATGCAAGAGCATCGGGAGCAGTACGCCCCAATGCACGGCGCTTGATCGTTTCTTTCTCTTTTTTTTTTTCCAGGCGTAGTCGGAGCTCGGAACCTCACGATGGAGTGCCGCAAGGGTCGACGGAAAGGAGGAGCTCCGATCCTCGGCAGTCTGCTACTTGCGTGGCTCTTAACCAACGGCTGCGCCGTCGTCGCGCGAAATATAGGTGAGTGCGAGAAAGTATTTACGATTTCGGACCGCGGTTTTCTTGCCGCGGGTAAACCCCCAAGAGCCCCCTCCCCCTCCTCCACCCTTGCGTCAATTAAGGGACTGGCTACAACGCGCGTGGATATTTACGCGCGTGGATATTTACGCGCGACGCATCCCGCAGAATCTCTCGCAACTCGCGTCTCGCCGCAGGCGAAAGCCAGTTTTGCATCCCGGTGCAATGCCTTCCGCGTGTTCTTTTTAACTTTAGCAAGGGCATTTTAAATTGTCACGTCTGTGAGCGTTACTGTTGTCAGTAGCGAGATGTTATCTAGCTGGCTAGCTCTGCTTCGGAAAATTATAGCAAACGAAATATTTTTCCCAAGATTCTTAGAATAAATATTAATGTGTACACGCACATGTATGTATAATTTAACGTTGGATAGACGTTAATTAATTAAAATTTATCAGTTACTGCAAAAATGAAAATTATAAATAATTATCGGAAATAGAATTATAAATATATATTAATTTTTATTTTGGAAGAGAAAACAGGGATGTGTACGAATACAAGATCGTTTCGCGTCGTTAATAATTTTAGATGGATTATTCTTGAAAATTCCTATCTACAAGTTGAATCGCATTTTTTTTAACTTAATTATATGATGCAATTTGATGGAGAAAGCTTTGGTATGTATGTTTTCTTGTAAATTTTAAACGGGATACAAAAATCGTCTCGAAGAGGTTAATAACAAGGGTGGAAGTGTTCGTGACGTGTATGTGCTGGGGGCGGAAGATCGTTGTTGCGCCGTAAACCCCGGAAAACCCCGCGAGATGGATGGGAGGTTTCGGCCGGCATGTTAAGTCCGGGAACATACCATAGCACGCTCGTAGAATTAAACCGTTCTCGTACTAATTGATTTAGGAGATTCTGCTGGCGCGCGCGCGCGCGCGCGCGCGCGTGTGTGTGTGTGTGTGTGTATGTATGTGTGTGTTTTGCTATGTTGTGTAACGCGACACAGCTTCATGATAAACCCTCGGCAATAAGAATCTTTTACTTTTTTATTAGCACTGAGTCAATATTGTTTACATAAATTGTGAGAAAATGTCACTTTCTAATATGTTGTTTAAAAAGAATATCTCCCTAATAGATATCTCGATAGTTTGACGTTCGGAAAAATAATTATATTCCTTGACGTCTTTATATACAAACTAATGTCTTGTATTTTTAAATATTTTTTTGCATAAACTTTAAAACAGATTCATTTTGAATAAGAAATGATGAGTATCTCTCGCACTTCAGGAATAATTTGAGTTCTACAATGAAAATTTCACATGCTGCGTTTGTAAGCTGTCCGATTGTGTATGCGTGCATCTTTACGGCTTCTGTCACGTCCGTAATTTTTTATCACTCTGCTGCTGCTGCTTATGTGGAGCACACGCGTGAGGGTGAAAGTTGCTGAAATGGCTTTTCGGGGTTTCGATGTTCCGTCGAAAAGAATTCCGCTCAGGCGCCGACGGCGGCGCCTACAAATTTCTCTCGGGACCATTTCCGCGCTCGCATATTAGCCCGACTGCGAGCCCAGCTGCAATCTCCGACGACGTGTAACTGATCGCGGAAGTTCAAGAAAACTCGAGCACTGCCGAGGCACGCCAGCCGGCGCGGCCGAATGCGCGAGAGACGTTATTTTCTGTTCATAAATCCGGGGCTTACCGGAACGAAAACAAAAAAAAATAATGTTCGACTATCCACGATGTTGTTCACGGTTGCGGTTGCGAAACGACCGCGGGGTCTAAATATTAGATCTGAGAAACGCGAGAGACTATGGCATCGCACTGTACGAGCGTAAATGTAATTCTTTTTACGAATGTTCTTGAAGAAAAATTCTTCTCTAACTGAACGAAATAAAAAATGAAAAAAAAAATAAATAAAATAGAATTAAATTAGATAAAATTAATAGAATTAGATAGAATCGCTTTTTTGTTAATTTTGTGAATGCTTCTTGATTCACAAGACACACTTTGTAGATTTAGCTAAAACGTAACACTTCGACATGTTTCCTCGGCGAATATGAAGGAAGACGAGGAAGTGAAAGGATGAGAGGGGGAGAAGTAGAAAGCCAGCTTAGCGCTCGATAGGGTTAGAATGTAGCGACGCATTGAACGTACGCGAGCATTAATGAGCGGCGGAATCTCGAGAAGCAATTTCAGACCGACGTGTTCAGAAAGGATCGAAGCTAAGACATACTGGGGTCAGGAGGAGAAACGAAGATCCGGCAGGGGTGGAGAATGAGAGAGAGAGACAGCATGTCCTCTTATCCCTATGTGATTATCATACACCCCGATGCATCCAATCCATCCATCATCGTAGTTGCGTTTCCAGTATTCTGCCTCCGCTGCTCCCTTCCTAATTATGACGTACACACACACACACACACACACACACACACACACACACACACACACACACACACACACAAACTTGCGACATGCACGCAGATAGGTGAAAGAATGGCAGTATAAGCAAAAAAAAAAATAAAAATTTTTTAATAAATTAAAATTTTTTGCACCGTTTTCGCCGAAGTTTGAATGAGGCCTTGTGTACAAAAAAATAGATCAAAGAAGGCTGTGAATTTGATAATATTTTTGTCTGCGTTTTTATCTGGAAACCGTTCACATTAGATCAAGTTTTTGCATTTTAAGTGTGCTTTTTTGAAAATAATTGATCAGATAGAATGGATAGAGAAAGATCTTGCGCACAACGAGCAAAATATTAGAAACATGAATAAATATTAAATTTTGGAAATCAAAATTAATGCGTTACGTTTTATAAGCTGTATTTTTAATTTTTATTTTCAAAATTTAATATTTATTCTTGTTCCTAATATTTTATTCATTGTGCGCAGGCCTTAGTGCGCTGCTTATTTTTTATAATATTTACAATATACAATTATGGAGTACATCAAAAAAGATATTTAATATTTTTTAAGAATAATATTTATTTTATAAACATATTATTAATAAAAATTATAATTGACAAATGAATATAAAACGAATATAAAATATAGATCTAAGAAGATTAATTGATAAAATGAAAATGGCACGATATCTTATTGACGAGATTATTAATTTTATCTTGAAAGAATATTGAGAAGGCCTTTAATATCGAGAGCTTGAAAGAAATTAAAACCGAAAGAAAAATTCGTTTCTTATTACAAAAAATTAATTATTTTTTGGAATGATTAATTATTGAAAAATTCTCTTATATTTCATCATTTATTTTGCAAAGGAGATATAATAATAAAAGCTGTCATATCATCGTTTTTATATTGCTTAAATTACTTATGAGAAGTACATGTTTGATATTTTTAATTTTCTTAAATATTATAATCTTTATGAGAAGGTGGATAGTGCTAAATTTTAACATTTTTATTCTTTTGCGCCGTTATTCGCCACTCCTTTTCTCTACATTTTAAGCACGCATATGCGTATCATTTCAGTTATTCGGCAATTAAGTTTTTACTACTATTCCGCCCGTCATAAAACCGAAAATGATTCCTCTTAGCGAGCGTATAAATATGCCGGCGCGGCGCTTCGAAAAATTACATAAAACCTCGATAGCCGCCACTTTGTAATCTACCCTGATGGCCGTCGTAAAACGTTAGTTAATGGCGGAAAGGATGATCTCGATCGAGCTGACCTCGCGAATAACGTGATAAAATTTGCAGTGACCGCTATGGGCATCGGAGCGGTGCCGAAAGACGTCGTTCATCCGTAGCTTTGTTCACGATTACTCGCACTATTAAAATATTTAAGAAGAACAAACTCTTCAGTCCTTACTAATTGAGAATAAAAACGGTATGACCCACTCTAGTTGTTACACAATTATTGTATTACCAAGTGAAATCGTCGATCAAACTTTAATCGCTTAATCGCTCAAAGATATTTCGAACATTTCATTTATTTTATATGTAGACTGTCCACCGTATTGATTACACAACAGAAAAATAAACAATTCAATTTTCTGGAATAACATTTTTTTGCTTTTAAAAACTTAGATTTGCTGGACGTTCAATATTTACAATAGAATTGAATAAAAATTAATTAATTTTGATCTATTAGAGTTATCACAATTACATTGATTGTAATTTATCAATAATCAATGCGAATTTTCAACATTATGCGTTGATCAAGCAATGGTCAATGTTCAAATTGTTGTTTGTGTGACTTGACTATTTATCATTGTTTGTCCATAATTATCATAAATGTTTGCCGATTTACGTTATATTTGCGTCGACGTTGTGGATCACATCTGGGACATTACGCCATGAAGATCTCATCTCTTCTCTTCCCCGCCGCCGACGACGAGGATTTATATGCGCGGTAAAGGGGAGGCGCTGCCGGATAATTTACGGCCACCACTTACACTCGCCCTGCCGTATTCTGAACAATTAATATTTACGCCGGATAGATCGGTAATCCTATTATATACTCGATACAATATCGAGATAATAAGCATTGTGGACAACGCGTGATTACAGAGTGCGTCGCGTCCCCGAGGCGAGCCGAGTTTCTCTTCGCAGGATAAGATTTCTTGAGGAAAAATTCTCGTGCTTCTTCAGCATGCAGCTACCATCTTTCGATATGCCAAGAAATAAAAAAAATCTAGAAAATGTGTCAAGATAATTGAAGTCAGCTTCAGCGAAATAGTACAAACTCTATTTTAAACTTATTTTAAACGAATAAATGCGTTTTATTGAAGGATTAATACATTCGTGTGAATGTATTATCATGGATGTGATATTAAGAGCGATTATTATTATCATCATTAGTAAATAATATGACGTGAAGCATGAAAAATATTGCATTACTTTTTTGCATTAATTCCTTGACTATATTGGTCTCTTGTAGTTGCACAATTAATTTACTATTGAAAGACGGTTTCTGCATTAACATTAGAATTTAATAATAATAATAATAATATTGTGTGCCCATAATTTCTTTAAAATTCCATAGAAG